AATTGAGCACATTTGTCCTTCGTTAATAATTTAGCCCATATATGCCCTTGATGTCAGATAATTGGTCCATATATGCCCTTTTTCGAAACAGAATCCACCCAAACTAATTAGCTCTTTCGTTAATTGCACTAAAGCGCATTACAAACACTATTTTCTTTTTATTAGTACTTTTTTTCTTTACCTTTCTCTTTTCTTTCTTCTTTTATGTTATTTTATTTTTATTTTTACTTTTTCTTTCTTCCATATCTGATTTCCTCCATTGTTGTTGCCTTCTCCATTTTCATCACCAATTTCACTTGACAAAACTCATAAATTCCTGCTAATTATACTATCAAAAACCTCACATGTTCTTCTGAACTGAATGAGATAAAAATTACCGGAGAATTTTTTTCGGTGGTGTTAATTGGGTAAAGGGAGTATATGGTTATTCAGCTTTTGAAGGTGTTGTTCACTGTGGAGCTTCATATCCGAAGGAAACAAGACCTTCAAGACCTTCAGAAAGGTAAAGAAAAAAAGTACTAATAAAAAGAAAATAGTGTTTGTAATGCACTTCAGTACAATTAACGAAAGAACTAATTAGTTTGGGTGGATTCCGTCTCGAAAAAGGGCATATATGGACCACCTATCTGACATCAAGGGCATATATGGGCTAAAGTTCTAACGAAGGAAAAATATGCTCAATTTCGTATAGTACAAGGGCATATATGGACCAACTATATGACGGTAAGGACATATATGTGCTAAAGTATAAAACGAATGAAAAATGTACTCAATTTCATATAGTACAAGGGTATATTTGGACCTTTTTCGTTCTATAAAAGGTAAAAAAATCTTCTATTTAACTAATCACCGGTCTTCTATCGATACGTGCCGAGATCCACGCCATGATATCCTGCCAGTCACGGATATTACGGCCTTCTATTAATCGTGTTCGATTTCCCGATAATGTCCTCCGAAGTCTTTTGGGATTTGGACCGATCCGGTGTCACGAGCCGGACCCGATCGTGATGGCGCCTCTCGTGAAGACAAGGCCGGCCGACACATTCCCATTCCAATCTTAAGCAGTAAAATAATAAGTATTAAGTCGTAAACATGATAAAATCTCAAAAATAAGCAGTTAACAGTATAATTTGCGGAAAAACAAATCCAACACAGCCCGACATCGGGGTGTCACTAGTCATGAGCATCTACTAAGGTCCGAATACAACTAGAGTCAAAAATGTACTAAATACAGTCTAATGAAATCGAGAGGGAGAAAAGCAGCGATGCGAACATCGGGCAGCTACCTTGCTAAACTCCGATGACTCTGCCTCTGAGCAACCAATACCCGCTATAGGGGTCAGAAATACCTGAATCTGCACACAAGGAGCAGGGAGTAAAGTGAGTACTTCCAACTCAGTGAGTAATAAAAATAAATGAAGACTGAGTAATATAAACCACGTAAGGCACAACATTAAGCTAAAAGAGGCATAACAAAAACCGGTAAATATAATTAAGCAGTGAAATCTCATAAGCATCCTTTAAACAGCTAAACAATATACAGGAAAAATAACTAAAAAGTAAACACATAATAACTGCCCCTCGGGCACAGTAACAACAGAATCAGCCCTCGGGCTATATCACAGAACAATACTAGCCCCTCGGGCTATATCTCATATCACAATGGGTACTCGCGCTCACTGGAGGTGTACAGACTCTGGGAGGGGCTCCTTATGGCCCAAGCGCATAATCAAGCCATCTCGTGGCATCATAAACAGACTCTCGACCTCATATCAAATCTCAAGCCACCTCGTGGCATACAAATCTCAGGTCTTTGGCCTTATTATCATAATCAGTGTATCACTGCTGCGGCGTGCAGCCCGACCCCAATGTATCCTCACAACACAGGCCCTCGGCCTTACTCAGTCAGAATCTCATAAGCCCCTCGGGCCACAGTAAAATATGAAGCTCAACTCAAATACCTTTGAAAATATCATTTAATGTGTTTAAAATAGAATAATACAGCTGAGTCTTTAAAATAGTAAAATATAGTATGACTGAGCACCAGTATGAAATCAATCAGTGAGAAAAATATCATTTAAAAATCCCCTAAGGGTTCAAACAGCTGGCACGAAGCCCACATATGGCATTTAGCCTAAAATATAATAATATTAAACAATTAACTATCAAATACGCAGTAAAATAATCATTCGGGATGGACTAAGTCACAATCCCCAACGGTGCTCTATCCCACGCTCGTCATCTAGCGTGTAAGTCACCTCAACATAGTCGTACGCTGTGAAATTCCGGGGTTTCATACCCTCAGGACAGCATTTAAAATCATTACTCACCTCGAACTAGCCCGAAAAGCTACTCTACAACACGCTTGTCTCTCGACCCAACTTTCGAGCGCTCCAAATCTACCAAGTTCAGATTTTTATCATCAAATTATGCTAAACGAATGAATTTCAATTGAAAAATATCGATTTTAAGCACAAAACCCGAAATCAGTCAAAACCCGTCCCCCGGGCCCGCATCCCGGAACTGGACAAACGTTATACCAAAATGTTCTTCATCATCTCACGAGTCCGTACATATAAAGAACTCGAAAATTGAAGTTCGTTTGACCCCTCAAATCATCCCTAGAAGGTCTCGTAATCTCAAGCCCTAACTCCACCTTTTTTTACTGATTTTCATGAATTAAACACTAATATTTTATTCCTTAATCACAAATAATCGAGTTTTAGGGTCCAAAATCCTTACCTCAATGAAGAACAATGATTTCCTCTCTTCAAAATCGCCTCAAAGCTCTTTTCCCGTTCAAAAATGGTGGAAGTTAGGTTCAAAGTCGCGGAATAGCCTTTTTAAAACATTCTGCCTAGGCCTTAAAATCCTTCTTCACGAACGCGGTCAAAGCCTCGCGTTCGCGAAGCACAAAATTACTTGACCAAAATTTCCTCTTTCGCGATCGCGACAAACCCAACACGAACGCGATGCTTTACTCAGAGAGACCTTCGCGGTCGCGTTCCCCCTATCGCGAACGCGATGAATTAAGTTCCCTTGAAACTCAGCTGCCCACTTCTTCTACGCGAACGCGACTACACTCCCGCGAACGCGATGCACAGACGCCCAACCCTTCGCGAACGCGGAGCCTGCCTCGCAAACGCGAAGGCTAACCAACTTCCTCAACTGACCCTTCGCGAACGCGAGGACCCTCTCGCGAACGCGAAGTTCATTTTTGTACAGCACTGACCTGCAATTTTCTGCAGGTTCTAACTTCATGGAATGGCCCGATTGACCACCCGAGGCCACCGGGACCTCAACCAAACATGTCAACATATCCCGTAACATCATTCAAACTTGTTCCAATTTCGGAACGCTCAAAACAACATCACAACACCAAATTCGCATCGGATTCAAGCCTAAGAATTTCAAAATCTTCTAAATTACGCTTTTGATCAAAAACCCAATCAAACCAAGTCCGAATGACCTGAAATTTTGCACACACATCCCAAATGACACAACGGAACTACTGCAACTGTTAAAATTCCATTCCGACCTCTATATCAAAATCTCACATATAAACCGGAAAACGTCAAGAACTCAATTTCGCCAATTCAAGCCTAAATCTACTCCTGACCTCCAAAACACATTCCGATCACGCTCCTAAGTCCCAAATCACCTAACGGAGCTAACCAAATCATAAGAATTCCAATCCGAGATCATATACTAACAAGTCAAATCTTGGTCAAACCTTTCAAAATTTCAAGCTTCAAGCTGAGAACTGTTCTTCCAAATTCATTCTGATCACCCTGAGAACCAAAATCAACAATTTACATAAGTCATAATACACTACACGGGGCAAGTCATGCCCGAGAACTGGCGAGCAAAGTGCAAAAACTCAAAACCACCGGTCGGGTCGTTACATCCGGGGTCATGGCCCCGATATTCTCGAGGGCGAGCGTGTACCCCGGAACCTGTCTCGATGACTCCCTCATCTCGATTCCGGCTCCTTGACATCATGTCCCGTACTCAATTTATTTTATCGGAAACTGGACCGTCTTATGGGTCCGATTTCACCCGTATACAAAATACAGAGTGTAAAATTCGATATTGCAAGAAGTTCTTGATATGAAAGTGAAAACGAAGTGAAGTGGAAACATGATATAGTAAATCATTCACTAAATTTTTTGTTCTATGGAGCACTGTGCTTTAAATCTTTGTAAAACCATTTATTTACGACAAATTTATAATATAGAAATATCCCTTTGTTTCAGATTCAACTCCTATTTCTTGGCCCGAACTGTTTTAGCTCCACTTAATGAATGAAAAACTTCTTAACAAAAAGCTCGTTTGATTTTGATTTGCACTTGCAATGAGGTCATTTCCTTATGTCATTGATGAAGTTATATAGAGATGCTTTTATCATTTAAGAATCTCTTTTTTCAACTATTCTTTGTTCCAAGGACCAAGAATAATTTTTAATTAGGGGAATCCAATTCTTTTTCCACTAAAATAAGTTGATAATATGAGTGGCAAAATTAACTAATAAAAATACTCCAGCATAATATACTGGAACTTCAGTATAATATACTGGAGTTCCAGTATAATATACTGGACTTCCAGCATATTATAACAGTCCAGCATAATATGCTGGAAGTTCATACACAGGTGCACCGATCTCCAGTATATTATGCTGAAACTTTCCGTGTTGCAGCAAAATAATGACTATTTTTCAATGACTTTGCAAACACTGGCTATTTTTGAATGACCAGTCCGAAAACCGGCTAGCCCATGCTATTTTTACATGAAAATATGACTCACCCGAATTTGGGCTGGGCATATTTTCATATTGATTCAATTTGAACATAGCTCAAGTTAGTGCATCTAAAAGTATATTAAATCGTGACCCTTTTTAATTTTTCTTTTTTTTTTTTGGTGGGGGGTGGGGGGGAGGTTGGGGGTTGGGGGAGCTCAATTTGCTTATAAATATGATTTTTGCATAGTTGAGAATTACCATACTCTTCTAATATCTACAACAAAATTGGCAACATGGCTGTGACATATTCTTTATTTAAGTTTGTTATCCTCTTCACCATTCTCCTTACAGCAACTGCTGGTAATGACTTACTTTTCCCTTTTGTTTGTGTGTGGTTCTTTTAGGTTTTAGCTTTATACATAAGAAAAAACAATTGCATAGAAATGTGTATATATATGATTATTAACTTGATATTGGTTCTAATCGAAATTTTTATGCATGCGCACAGTTGATTTGTCTCGAAACTCAATGATGACGATGGGAGGCTTGCCACTATCTATATCAATGATGAAATTGAAATTAAATCAAAATGAAGAGGAGACTTGTGGGAGAAAATGCAGTTCTCACGCAGAATGCTCTGATGGATGGATATGCAGGTGGTGTTGGTGGCATTATCAGTTGAACTATGATCGATATGATTATCATTGTAGCATGTTACCAAACTGAAGAACATCGCGAGGAGTTTAAGAATATGGTCCATGAGTTAATACCTAAGAATGACATGCTGGAAGCACAGAGAACGTTCGTTTGCTGATATTATTATTAGTATTTCGATAAGTACTACTTTAATTAGATCCTTGTATATGCATGAACTAAGAGTGCTAACAAAATTATGTACTACTTCAAATAGTCATTTTGCATGTGCTATTAGAGTAAGAGTGCTAAATATACTTCAAATGCTAGCTATATATATATATATATATATATATATATATATATAAGAACTACCTTTGTTTACCAGTCCCATGTTATGTGTAATTTTGGAAGACTTATACGTGAATACATTTTTCCTTATTTGTCTAAGTATTACATGGGAACAACATATTGTATAAGTGGACTTCTCTTCTATAGTAAATTTATGAGGTTAATTACCCAAAAAAAAAAATTATGAGGTTGTTCTCACAATGCTTTTGTATTATCTTTTATGTTATCTTTAAAATAATGAACTGGTTATCTCCAATATGGACGTACATTTAATTGACTAAGCCATGTAATCTTTGTGTTTTATCAAACATCTCAAATCTCAAAAGATTTGCTTTTCTGAAAGAAAGAAAAAAGTGTTTTTAGCTTCTCAAAAGCTTAGCCAAAGAAGCAATAAATCATGTCATTTATAATTAGTTCTGGATATCTGATTCAAATGACATGTTAATTATAAATCAGACATGTAGAGTTAAATATAAATCAGTCATCCAAAGCTTAAATCATGCAACTTTCTATATTATATACTATATAATATAATTTTTACCTAAGTATATACTATACAATGTAAGTACAAGAAGCAATAAGTATAATTAACTCTGGATGTCTGACTTAAAACATATTTTTCTTTAGATATTTAGTATTACTATTCGATATTTACTAACTCGACCGATCAATTCGGTCATGTACGCCCATTAAAGAGATTAAAACATTTTCTACTAAGAAATTCTTCATTCTCAATATTTCAATGTGCAATCTCTGATTAAGAGTGAAGGAAAAATTCACAACAAAATTCCAATACTCAAGATTTCATTTGCAATGAGGTTATTTCCTTGTGTCATTAATGTAATATTCTGATAGATGCTTTATCATCAAAGGATCTCTTTTTTAACTATTCTTTGGTCCAAGGACAAGACTACTTTATATAAGGGGAATCTAGTTCTTTTTAATATGAGATAAATGGATACAAGTATTCCCTTCGGTTCAAAATAAGTGATTTTTTAGATGTTTTCATACAGATTAAGAAATCCGTCTTTTAACATTAATTAGCAATGAAATTGACCATATTAACCTTTACTATCTCTTCACATAAACACTCCTAACACATACTCCAACACTATTTACTCCAAGGGCAGTGTAGGAAAAAAATAATTAATTCATTCTTAAAATCTGAAAAAATCACTTATTTTGGACCACAAAAAAAGGTCAAAAAATTACTTATTTTGGACCGGAGGGAGTATAGTTTAACTATATTAGATAAGGTTTCAAATCCGCGTATCACGATACAAAATTTAACTATATTAGATAAGGTTGGCTTAAATGTTTTGGAAAACATTTTCCTTATGAATTCATTTTCCTCCAATTGGAGGAAAATATTTTCCTTATCAAGAGAAGGGAAAATATTTTCCAAAACTCCTTCTCAACCTTCCCTACCCTCACCAACCCACCCCACCCCTCTCTCCAAAAAAGGTTTTCTTTTTTCAAATTTCAGTTTTCCCGTTACCACCCACCCTACTACCCCTCCAGCCCACCCCACCCCCCTCCCGCAAAAAAATTATTATTTTTTTAATTGCAATTTCAAATTTCTACTTTTTTTATTTTCTGCATCACCCAATCCCCCTCCCAACTGCCGTACCCCCCCCCCCCCCCTCCCCGCAACAAAAAGAATTTACTTTTTTGTATTCTGTTTTTCGTTTTCTGACCCCCCCCCCCCCGAAATAAATATTTTTTAATATATTTTTTAGTTTTAGTTTTTTTATTTATCGGTTTAAAGGTTCAAAATCGTACAAGTTCCAAAGTTATGAGTTCGGAGGTTTATGTGTTTGGAAGTTTACGGGTTTAGAAATTATAAAGTTTACGGATTAGAAATTCCGTGATTTCGAAAGTTTAGCGGTTCGAAAGTTTATGAAAAATATGGGTTCGAAAGGTTGTTGGTTTGAAAGTTTATGGCTTCATGTTTATTATATCTAAATTATTTATGAATACTCTTGAGAAGTCATTTTTATTAATTTGCGTACCAAACACCGGAAAATGAATAACATTACTATTTGTTTCCAAGAAAATATTTTCTTCCATGGAAAACATTTTCTTGCAAAATATTTTCCACGGAAAACATTTTCTTGGAAAACATTTTCCACGGAAAACATTTTCCGTTATACCAAACACACCCTAAATCAATCACGAAATAACATATCATGTAATAGCGAAAAAATTGGTATAACATATCATGCACAGACTAGTAGCAAAACTGTTACCCTGCATTATACTCTAGCTCTGGCATGCATATATGCTCGTCGCCTCACATACACAGTAATCCTATATATACGATCAGTCAAAAATATCTCTGAATCAAGGTGAGAAAAATAATAATAAAGAAAGTTATCGATAGAGCATATATTCATCCTTTAGAAACATCTGGTAACTCTTTAATTAGTTTATAATATTATCAAGTATAAACCACTATTGTATATTAAAGTGAAAGGTAAATATCAGTATCACTATAGCCTACAGTATTCATAATTTGCTTATAAATATGATTTTAGCGAGTAAGGAATTACCATACTCTTCTACTCTACATCTTCAAGCTAATAGCATTATTGCCATGGCTATAAAAAGTTCTCTACTTAAGTTTGCTATCTTCTTCTCCATTCTCCTTACAGCAACTGCTGGTAATGACTTATTCATCTATGTCTTTTTCCTCTCTTTTTTTGTTCTCATTAGAAAAGATCTTATTCTTTGATTTATATTACTGTTGTTTCTTTCGCTTCGGTTATCTTAGTATCTTGTTGTTGTTACTGTTTGCTATCACTGCTTTTTTCACATTTTTTTTAGCCGAGAGTCTATCAGGAAAGAGCCTCTCTACCTTCATATGGTAGGGGTAAGGCCTGCGTACACACTATCCTCCCCAGCATGGCACGAAAAGAATATCCTATTTTGATAAGACTTGATCTGAATCGTAGTTCAAATTTAAGTTGGTTTAGTGAGGGTGACCGTGAAAGTCACTAATGGGTCAGTCTTTTATAGAGCCGTCAAAATGGGCTTGGCCCGTGAGGCCAGCCCGGCCCAAGTCAGCTCACTGGCCCTTGAGGCTTGTCTGAGGCTGGGCTGGGCCGGGCCAAAAATTAATTAAACTTAAATTATATAACTATTAAATAATTAATATTTAAAAAAAGTAAAAACTAAAAAACTATTAATTGTAATCCCCATTCCCAACCTTAGATTGCTCATTTTCCTTTCTATATCAACTAGAATTTAGATTTTGACATGCATGTAATATAACAAAATTGGTTTTTCTTTTGCTTAATTAATAACGAATTCGAAAAGTTTTAGGTGGCCAATAATAATCTTTTTTCAAAAGAAAATATTACTTTTAAGTGGCCAATGATCAGTTTGGATTACTTTAATATACTATTAATATTTAAACTGCTCTTCAGTATAGAAAAAGATCAATTTTAAATACCCAAAAAAAATTGACCACTAGCAAATTTCATGAATTTTAAAAATGTTATCGACTATAATAAATGAAATCAGCAAATGATGTTAATCCTAAATTAAAAAACCTCAGCATTTAAACTTATCGAAGCAATCCTTGAATCCAAGAAAAATGAAACAAAAACATTAAGAAAATATTCATGTAACTTTAAAAAAATAAGAGCTAGTGATATAGAGAATTTGCATTTCAATTACGAGATTCTTCGTCAATATCAAGTTTTTTGTACGCTCTAAGCAAATAGAAGTTGTTTACATAATTAATCGATTATGTCACAAAAAAAAATACTTAAGGATTTAAAGAAATTCTTTTTTCTAAAAAAAAAAAGGAATAGAAGGGGAGCCCTCCCTAGCCCGCGGCCCTCTTAGGGCTGGGTTGTGCTGGCCATCTTAAGGCCCATTCATGTGGCGGGCCGGGCCGTCCTAACCCAACAAATTTAAAAGCCCACGAGGCTTGGGCTAGGCTGGGCCGGGCTGGCCCATTTTGACAGTTCTAGTCTTTTAGTTCTCCTAGATTAGAATATCAAAGGAGAACGTTGCAGATGCCAGGGGCGGACACGACCGGAAAACACTGTACATGTACCTCTATATTTTATATTTTGGATCCTCTTGACACAGCCCAGTAAAGGGAGTTTAAAACCTTTGTAAGGTTGCTGGTTCAATTCCCACTGGCCACAATCTTGAACCCCTTAGCGGAAATCCTGTCTCCGCCACTGTTCTCCAGATCCCACTTATTAAATTACACTGAGTTTGTTATTGTTACTATTAGAAAAGATTATTACATAGACATGTGTATAAGATTATTAAATTGATGTTGGTTATAATGGAAATATTATGCAGTTGAATTGACTCGAACCTCAGAGATGAAAGCGATGGCAATTGGAACTGGCTTGCCACTATCTATATCAACAATAAAAATGACATTAATTCCAAATGACTTTTTTAAGTGGACTTGTGACAGAGAATGCCGTTCTGATGCAGATTGCTCAGATGGTGTACTATGCAGAACATGTTGGTGGCACTATCAGCCATACACTGATGATTATCATTATCATTGTAGCATATTCCCTAATTGAAGAACGTTTCGAAGTCTAAAAATATCATATCTACAGATGTATCGATTGCTAACCACTACTACTAAGTACTTGTATACATGTGCGAAGCTACATTAGGGTAAGCGTGGTCAATTGACCACCCTTCGTCGAAAAATAGCACTGGGTAAATAGGTAAAATATTAGGTTTTAGAGGTATATAATATATATTGAATACCCTTTGTCATGGATTCTTTTTACTTTTTTTAAGTTTGAACACCCTAAGAAAAAATTCCTGGTTTCGTCACTGCTTGTATATTTGTAAGACTTAAGACTTAAGAGTGCAAAAAGTACTACTTCAGATCCTTGTATAATAATATGCATGAATTGAGTGTGTGAATTATATGTGAATGAACCTTTGCGTAAAAGGATTATAATGCTCGTATTTGCACATGTTAA